TGTATAAAGATCCAAGAGCTAAAATGGAGTGTAAAGATTTGCCCAAATATTTGTCCCTTTTTTTTCCCAAAGGTAAGAACTTCATTATATTCGAACTGAAATGTGTACATCATAATCCAAAATATTAAACAACTACTCTGACTCAAAATATTTGTCCGTTTATCCTGTTCTATTGTTAATATAATGTAAATATTATTATTTATCAGTAAGTCTAAATAATACATATCAAACGGCCCACTTATAACTTGCATGGTATCTTCAGTCTTAACCGTCTAATTAAATCGAACGGCCCATACAACCCCCGCACTTAAGTTTTTTGGTTCACCAATCACCTTTTGTTATCATCAAGTCAACTGTGTTGTGCGAGTAACTCACACAAACATCCGATTATTCTCAAGCGTCCTAAGAAAGTTCCAATTATTCTCACGCGTACTAGGAAGTTTGAGAGAAACTCACACAAACATTTTGCAGCCTCATCCTCAAGTCTGTTCAAGAAAATTCTTCGGTTCCTTATAAATAAGCAACCAAATCTGCTCCTTTTGCAATCAGTCTAGCAAAAGCAGAAGTTCTGTAATAATTCTCAAACTTTCTCAGCATCCAAACCAACCCATCAGTTTTATCACAATGTCGCTCATCCCCAGCTCCCGACGAGGAAGCTAAGTCGTCTTCGACCCATTCTTCCTCAATCTGTGGGACCCTTTCAAGGATTTCCCGTTCCCTTCCTCCTCGTCACTCTTCGCAATTCCTGAAGTTTCTCGGGAGAATTCAGCTTTTGTGAGCACTAGGGTGCCCACGTGTTCAAGGCGGACGTTCCGGGGCTGAAAAAAAGGATGTTAAGGTGGAGGTGGAAGACCACAGGGTGCTTCAGATCAGTGGAGTGAGGAACGTGGAGGAGGAGGACAAAAACGATAAGTGGCACAAAGTGGCGAGGAGCAGCGGCAAGTTCTTGAGGAGGTTTCAGCTTCCGGAGAATGCAAAGGTCGATCAGATTAAGGCTGCCATAGAGAATGGAGTTCTGAGTGTCACTATTCTGAAGGCGGAGGTGAAGAAGCCTGACGTCAAGGCCATTGAAATCTCTGGTTGAAATTCTGATTTTTTTAAAGATTTTATCTATTTTACCTGCTCAGTCACAAATATGTATTAGAAATAAGAGTGCCAAAGTCATATCACAAATACGTATTTGATTTTGTTGAGTATCAATGAAATATAGACTTGTCCCTTTTTAATGAAATATAGACTTGTCGTTTTTAATGAAACATGGAGTTCTGAGTGTCACGGTTCTTCTTTGCCTACCGCAAATATACATATAATTGACAATTTTTTATGTCAATAGACATGTCATGGCATGATGGTGAGTAACAATTAAAAAAGCTCTGGTTTCTGTTGCAATTTGTTTTAAGCTTAGTAATTTTGTGAGGAAGGTGAAGCCATTTCAACTCCTCTCATTGCCATTTGAAATAATACTCGCGAGATATTAGAAGAAACTAGAACTGAGATGCTTCTTGTTGGTCTTTGACTCAGTCTGATCTGATTACTTAGTTGAAAAGAAAACACTATATAAGCTTATTGACTACAAAAAGAAATAGAATTCCCAAAAACGCAGTAATAAAGTCTAACATTACTCTCCATTTCTGCTCTCTCTCTTCCTCTCTTTGTTTTCCGCACAGCTTTTCCTCCCCAGTTTCAATCTTGAATTAGTCCTTTTCATTTCTTTCTGCATCGCTTGCATTCAGCGACTTGGAGAAGTAAAAAGGAACCATGAACCAAGAAACTCCAGCTGCCGCAACCATCACCAATGCTCTGGTAAGTGACAACCCGACGATTAATCAAGAAAACTCTAACTGTAGCCAGACATTTTTCCAAAAGCATATGCCTAGGATTCTGGTCATAGTCCCACCGATTTCCAATGAAGCACCCAAATGTTGCGGTGTGATTGTTGGCGATTTTGCTTCTCAAGACTTAGAGCAACCTTCCACGGGGGTAATGATACGATGGAGATGCAGATGGATGCATTATTTGTGGCTTTTATCGTTCTTGAATGAATAAAGTTCATGGCAGTCGCCTAATTGCATAATGGAAATGACATAATTCTGCAGAAAGAAAAATAAACGAATCAGATTTCGTCATCTTTATTTTACATTATGGGACGTAAAATTTAGATGATTGGAGAAAGGTTAACGTTTTCGATATAACCAATTTGGTCACTGTTTTCTTCATTGTTTACAATCTAAGTCATTTTTGTCAATTGCAGGTTTTAAAAAGAATAATGCTTACATTTTCTTTTTTGGATGAAGTTGTTTCATCACTTGCAAATAACGTATCTTCACAAACAAAACAAGAAAAAAAAAAAAATCATGATCAGGATCATTTGTTTATTTGATGCATTTGAAAGATTAAAGAATTCCATTTTGAATGAATTTTTGCAATGATGATCTTCAAAAGACAATTAAGAAATTGAACGGTTATGATTATAAAATTTCTATAGTGAAGATATGCTATTTGCAAGTATGAGAGAATGAGCTCATCTCCAAAGGAGAAATGCAAGTATTATTCTTTTAAAAAAAATACTTCCAAAAGGATTTTAAGAATGTTTTTTTTTTTTTTTTTTTTTTGTGTTTCTCTAGTTGATAAGAAACACATAGTAATTGTTTGGACCTGATTTTACATTTTTGACCCAAGCAATCGAAGCCCTCGGATGATTATGAAAATTAAGAGATTTTTCTTAGCATTACTATTGATTTTAATCATAGTAATTATCTTGAAAATATCCTTAAAGCTTACAAAGTTTAGAGTTATGCATGGGATTCTTTTGCAGATAATCAAGGGTTTTATCGGATTGTAGAGAAATTAAAGGAGATTGCACAGTTGGCTGCTTGCCAACCCCCTACAATCAACACAACAGTAAGGAGAGTTATGTGAGGGCTTGACGTGTAGCTTTATGATTATATCCTAATCAAAATGGTATCTAGTCAGTAGCATGGAATTCCATATTTGAATGGGTTTGCATGCAGAACCACATGGAACAATGGTACAAGGATGCAACTTTGGATCATTAGCATATGGATATGCCATTTTATCTATTTGAAACAGTAAGAATTTAAGATGGTGATGTACTGTGAAGACTAAAAGGTCCAATGCATCGCAATGATTAACATTACGATATCACCAAAAGTTAGAGGATAATGAGTGGTAGTTCATGATTATTATTTCACAAGGTATGGTTCATGAAGGACTCTGCAACAAGGATAACCCCTTCAAATCAACACACAAATTGCCTTGTGCAAAACTTCTCAACAACCCTGAGATTTTTTTCCTCTCCTCTTTTCTTCTCACCAACACATCTTCAGTTTGTATAGACATCAATGTGAAAGCAACCGGTGACATCTTCAGTTTGGATAGACAACATTTGAGCCGTATAATCAGTCGACCGATGAACACCTTCAGTTTGGATAGATAGCACTGCTTCGAGACCGACTGGTTATTTATCCAAGTCACGGTCAATAAGGATTTACGAGTCTTTGTTAGTAGAGGTCATCTCATCAACCTTCTCGGCGAAATAAATTGTTACCAAGTTACTACATTCGGCACATTGAAAGCCGAATTTGAAATTAAACTTCGTAGAACTAGCAGCCTTGTCTTCAGGCTCTAGAAACCGAAGGTCGAGACGTGTTCCTTCCTCAACCTCAGTCGTAAGATCAAGAAGTCAGCATCGTGCCCAACGCCACATCAACATATTTTACTCCCTAGCCGAACTCGACCAAAGAGTTGGCATGCCCCGCACACAACCGAATGATGTAGTTAGCTTATTAATTACTTGGCATATGCGCCACGTAGGCTTGGTAGTTTTTAGGGTCAACAGTAATATATGGAACATCTATCATGTGTAAAATATATATTCAATGGTGTGAGAATTCCGAACCGAAAAAAAAAAATATATATATATTTATTTTGGTTGTATTTTTATTGAATGTTGAATTTAAGTAGTTTGATAATAAACTATGTTAGAAACAGAAGTATGAAATTAAGTAGTTTGAAATATTGGAGCGTCAATTGGACTTTGTATGAATAAATTGGTATTTCAATTGGAATGAAATTTCAAATTGATATGAGGTAAAAAAAACTTAAATTTCAATTGATATGAAATTGGGCAATAAATTTTCAAGCTAATAACTCAAATTTTGGCCCACACCCCAAAAATTTCAATTTTCAACCCAAAAACCTGAAATCCAAAATTCAATACCAATCCATCCTGAAATATTGTAAACATATCAAAATCCCAAAAATTGAGAATACCGAAATTTCGGTTCAGGATTGGTTTTCAATTTTTCGTCCCAAAAATTTTCGATTTGAGATTCAGAATCTCATTTTCAATTTGAAATTGGATACCGAACCACCCCTACACAAACTTACTAACTCTAACTCAAAAGTTTTTTAAAAGTCATGTTAGAAATTATATATTATAATATTTAAGTTCTGTATGAATGAAAAATAAGAGTTAAGTGTTATTGTTGAATTCAAAATAATGAGTTGCGTCTGGTCATTAGAACATTAGGCAACAGTCACAATGTTTCAAAAGTGGTGACTTGGGTTCTATATAAACTGAAACATCCCACATATCTAAATAATCGAAGAAAAGAGTTTTCTTCAATGTCTTTTATTCTTTGTTAGTCAAACTCCAAGTTGTATCTTGAGAGTACGAAATATATGAAGTTCGTCAGAGTCCGAAAATTGAAGTGTTTTGATTTCGGATTATAGATCGTTGAATCCTGGGAGACGGACACCTACCGAACTACAAACACAAGAGTAGAGGTGAAATTTTGTCTTTAGGACATTGTATTTATGCAAACCTCAATCTTTAAATTTGTCAGTTTTTCGAACTCATATGTAATTGATGTTGTGAATTTCTTTATGATTATTATAATTGGAATTATATTATTATTTTTCCTATTTTATAATATTGCTCAAACAAGTCTTACTTGTGTTTTGTCTCCATCTGTGTGTGATCCTTCAAATATATCTCTGATTGGAGCAGTCTGCCCCCACCACTCTCATAATTCGCATTTGCTTCGGTACTCCTCCCTCTCTCCCTCTCGTTCAGCAAAGCCATTGCTCGAAACTGACACACAAATAAAGACAGTGATCGAGGGAGGAGGGAGGAGGCAGACATTGATACTTTCATTGAGGATAGAGAAAAAACATCTCCACCTACTCCATAACCCCACCATGTTTGATGTCCGAGTGCTGCAACTTTAACACTTCACCATTTCACGCCATTTCTCTTTCTGGGTTTCACGAATGTCAGCTCCCGAGGCAACCCACCACCGCCGTTCGGCCACCGGAGGCAGCGGCGCGTCGGTCTCGGATGACTCCGACGACAACCAGTTCTGGCGTTCGATGTCTGACTCCGGCAATGTCCGGAGGAAGTCTTGTGAGTCAGATTGTTCAGTGGAGGAGGTGGATTTGGAGAGTGGGCTTTTGGAGGTGAAGAAGGTGGTGCATTTGAGTAAAGTTGAGAGAAATTGCAGGATTTGCCACCTGGGTTTGGAGGGAGGTGGTGGGACCGACCCTGCCTCTGGGGTCCCGATTGACCTGGGGTGTTCTTGCAAGGGGGATTAGCGTGCTGCTCATAAGCAATGCGCTGAGACTTGGTCCAAGATCAAGGGAGACACGTGAGTACAAAATTTTTCTGAGTTTAATATTCATTATTTTCTTTGGTTTTTGGTGTTTCTGCTTGAAATTATGAACACCCATTTGCTGGATTGTGAATGTTTGTTCTGCTTGAGTGTTTAATGATGGTCCGAAAACTTTAGGATTATATTTTGTTCTGTTTCTGCATTGAAGTGCAAGCACATGGATGTAATTGGTTCCCGGAGACAGCTCTCTCACTTTTGATGCGGTTTACTTCAAACTATGAACTTACTATGGGGATGTTACAACAGATTCCATCTTGGTGGTGTTTAGGTTCCTGCTTCCGAGAGTTCAGCTTATTCCTGCCGAATTAGGCAGATCACGTATGTAGTAGAATGCGTATGCTCATATGAAATACGAGAAAATCTAGTAAAAGAACAATCTTGTAGTCACCACAATAACAATCCATCTGAACTCAAAGATATCCATCGTTCTAGGTTTATAATTTTTATAGTCACACTTTCTGTGGCATTTACATGAGTGGAAAGTGCGAGGTCCAATGCAAGCTAAAGGAAGTGTGTTTGTATGCAAGAATTGAGCTCCTATGTCGAAAAGTAGATATCTTGTGTGCCATGTATCTTTTCTGTATGCTTCTAATAAAGATGTAAATGTTTAAATTATGCATATGGATTAGTAAATGATGATGAGCATTTGCATTCTTTGGTTCCATCACAAGTTTATTTCGTTTATACATTTGGGAGATTTTCTATACTCCAAGGATGATAATTTGGTAAAGTTCTTAGGACCTTGCACGCTATACCCTCTTCAAAGGAAATATCCAAACTTAGGCTACAGGAAATATAATCTAGATAAGCTGCATCACATGATAATACAATGACATACATACATCATAGATGGATTGGTGAAGACTTGCTGGGTTGGTAACCAGGATGAGGACAAGATATGCAAGAATAGCAAGCTAGTTCAAACTTCAACTCATCATGGTAAGCAAATGGAACGACATCTTGACTACATGACTTTTTTTCCAGAAACAGAAATAGAAGATTGATGGCTTTGAAATCACTTATAGTGATTGTATAGCATTCTCTTTTATATTTTTTTATATTTGTATGCTGTTGGTTACACGTCTTTATGTTTGTTCAAAATCCTCATGGTACGTTTCTTCATTATGTTGCGTTATGGTTGCAAATACCAGTCTTGTCTGACTAAGCGTCATTATGTTCGATTTTTCCTTCTGCATAAGCGTCTTAGCCAACAATTCCTGTCTTTGCTTTTTTCCTTCTGTCTAAGCGTGTTAGCTAACAATTTACCAAATGACTCAAAATATAATACATAAAAAAGACACAGAAACTTACTCACTTGTTGCCCTTAACCTTGAACCAAAGTACCAGCACAGTTCTTGTGGGCAGCAGCCAAATCATCCTTGCAAGAACAACCCAATTCAATCGGAGCCCCGGATTCGTGGCTGTTACTCTCCAAAGCCTGATATTCATAAAACCTGTGTCAGCTTTAAAAAATCTAACTATTTTATGAATCACCAGCTACCATTCTTTAGAATCAGTTTCCTGGGAACAAAGATCATTCAAATGTCACTATTATTAAACCTATTAGCAAGAACAAAGATTCTTAAACTTCCTATTTCCATATATGAATTTAAGGAGGAGAGAAAAACAGAGTTATGCATTAATGAACTAAATGGAAACTAAACAGAGTATTGTATTCAACTTTCACAATACGGAAAAAAATAAAAATTTGTTTCCACAAAAGCCCCAAAGAGAAGCTGAAATTGCTCACCTTGAGTTACAAAACCGCAAAAAAGGAAAAACCAGGGTCCCCTGACACCGAAAACAAAACCAAAGTAAAAACCCATATGCAGCCAAATTAAACACATACATGCAGCTGAATTAAACACCCACACGCAGGATCCGATGGTACTAACAAAACCCTCAAAATCGCAAAAAAAAAAAAATTTAATTTGAACAGAAAACCCATCTGCATATCCAAAATCACAGAAAAGAAATTGAAACACCTAAATTGAGAAAGCCATAAAAACTCACCAGGAAACGCTAGCTTTTCTAGGTAAAAAATTTCTCCGAATCCAACTGAAGAACCGAAGAAACTTCTACAGGTTAGGTGGTTTTTCAGCAAGAAAGTGCGATTGGTAATTTGTGAGACAAAGATCGCAGGGTCGGAGAAGGAGAGAAGGCAGCTTTGGAAAGCGAAAGGAATCGAGGTTCAAGAGCGACAGAAGCAGGGAATTGTGAGGGAAAAAAGTGGAACGGAGGGAAAAGTCGAGAAGAAAGGTCGTGCAGAGCGATGAGCGACGCGTGGACAAACGCATAATGGAGAAGAATCGGAGGGCGTTTATGCCATTGAAAACGACAGAAGCTGAGAAGTGATCGACTGGTGGAGACGAAGGGCAAAGTCGTCTTTTAACTGTTAAAAAAAGGGGAAAAAAAGGCAGATAACAAAGGAATTGGAGGGCATTTTCCCCCGTTTACAGTTAATGAACAGTAATTTTGTATTGAGTTTTAGTATGTGTATAATTTCATGAGATGTTAAATGTTATTGATATTTAGTTGATATTGTTAATTTAATGTAAATATTATTATTTATCAATAAGTCCAAATATTACATACCAAACGGCTTGCTTATAACTTGCACGGTATCTTTAGTTTTAATCGTCCGATTAAATCGAACGGCCCATACAACCCCCACACTTAAGTTTTTGGGTCCACCATTCATCATCATCAGGTCAACTGTGTTGTCTAAGTAACTCATACAAACGTCAGATTATTCTCAAGCGTCCTAAGAAAGTTCTGATAATTCTCAAGCGTCCTAGAAAGTTCGAGAAATTCACACATACATTTCTAGTCTCATCCTTAAGTCTGTTTTAGAAAATTCTTTGGTTCCTTAAAAATACACAACCAAATCCGCTCTTCATGCAATTAGTCCAGCAAAAGCAATAATTCTATAATAATTCTCAAATTTCTCAGCATCCAAACCAACCTTATCTGTTTTTCAGAATGTCGTTCGTCCCCAACTCCCAATGAGGAAGCAGCAGCGTCTTCGACCCATTCTCCCTCAATTTGTGGGACCCTTTCAAGGATTTCCCGTTCCTTTCCTGTTCATCACTCTTCGCATTTCCTGAATTTTCTCAGGAGAATTCGGCTTTTGTGAACATTAGGGTCGACTGGAAGGAGAGCCCCGAAGCCCACTTGTTCAAGACAGACGTTCCAGGCCTGAAAAAAGAGGAGGTGAAGATGTAGGCGGAAGACGATAGGGTGCTTCAGATCAGCGGAGAAAGGAACGTGGAGAAGGAGGACAAAAACGACAAGTGGCACATAGTGGAGAGAAGCAGCGGCAAGTTCTTGAGGAGGTTTCAGCTTCCAACGAATGCAAGGGTCGATTAGATTAAGGCTGCCATGGAGAATGGAGTTCTAAGTGTCACTATTCCAAAGGCGGAGGTGAAGAAGCTTGACATCAAAGCCATTGAAATCTCTTGTTGAAATTCTGATTTTTTTTTTCTTAAGATTTTATCTATGTTATACGCCACATATAAATACGTGAAAAATACATATGTGTATTATTCGACAACTCTATTGAAAAGGTACTTTGAAAAATTCAAGCCAGTTCCAAATTTTTGAATAGTAATTAATTTAAAACTTTTGATCTTTTTAATAATATGTTAAAAATACATATAAAAAGTATTTTTTGTACTATTAAAAATATATGTCAAAATTAGGTCCATTAAATGTAAAAAGTAAGTACATACATTAGAGTTTTTACTAACTTGCAAGTTAACGAAACACGTATTAAAAATAAACAAATAAATTCTTAAAAATATATGGAATAATTTTGAACTGAATTAGCTTCAGAGATTGAGCTGGATTGTCTTGGTTTGAAGCAAGATAATAATAGTGAAGTGTTTGTGCATTGTTGGACTAGCCACAAACAAAATACCCTAAAATTTTGTAAGGCTCTTATGGCAACCCCTCTTGTTAACCCACTTATCGAACAAAAGTTGGACATATTTGTAAGGCTCTTATGGCAAAGCTTCACCAAGAACTTTGAATTTTATTGAAATTTCTTGACGACGTCGAATGACGAAAAGGATTGAGGCGTGACTAATCCTGACGTAATTTTTGGCAAAATTTTCTTGACAGTTTTGAGATGAACATTGAGATGGTAATTTTTGGCGCGCATTCTCTAAATCAGGGGTTGGGTGTGGATTGACGGCGTTGAACTGATGATGATGAAGTTAAAAACGAGGGAAGAGGACAAAATTCGTACGTAGTACAAGCTAAACCTTCACTTCTACATCGAATTGTGTAAGACCAGTTAAGGAGGTCTAAAGTCCATACAACCACCATGTCAATCCTCCCCCCGCAATCCCTAAACCCCATTCCTAGATTTTCCAAATTTTTTTCTAATTCTTCGTCTTCCTCAAATCTCCCTAAAATTCTCTCCATTTTCCCTCTCAATCCGGAAAAAAAAAAAAAAAACCCCCAAATAGATCCGAAGATGAGTTTGCGTCTAAATTAGCTTCCCTTTTCGACTAGGTCGTGAGGAGGGATCGAGATCGAGAGCTTTCTCTGTGCTCATGCCTTTACTCTTAGGTGCAACCGCCTCCACCGCTACACCCAACTGGAAGACCCATGGAGAAAACTCGAAAAAACGAACCTCGCAGGAAGGAATCGACCTCATCAACGTGTGGTGGTGAACGAAGGATATTTGGACCTAAACTCATTGCTATAGTAGCTTGGTGGCAAGGACCATCGACGCCGTGCCATGTGTCAAGATTTGGAAATCATATATTTGGTTTCAAATTATTGGTTGTGCAAATTTCAACTTTGATAATTTGGAACTATTAAGGATTGAGAGGGGGAGATTTATGAACGGGGGCGATTGACATGGTTGTATGGGATGGGTGGTGGTGGAGAAAGAAGAAGATGGCGATGGAGGTCTCAGGTGGGAGAAGGGGGTGGGCCCCTCTTTGTTTTGTTTTAATTTAAGTTTTTGTTTAAATTGTTTTTTGTTAACAAATTATTTTTTTATATCACGTCATCATTTAACGATCAAACTAACGGTTTAATTAACGGATGTATGAAACTGCAACAAAATTGTGTATGAAATTAAAATATTTTAAAGATATTGTATGAGATTATAATTGCACCCAAACCCAAGAGGATAAAATGTAATTTACCCTAGAATAATCAAATAGAACCATCCACAAAGGAGGTCGTTCTGGTCTAAGGAATGGGATCCCCGCCTTGCTTGTTCATGAGCTGGGACCAAGACTGAAGACTTGCTGAAACAAAGCTAAAGATCCCTTATGAAAGTGTACTTTCGTTCGTTCTTCATTTCGTCCTTGACCCATGATCAATGACTTAATCCACCCAGAAGTAGAAAACCCAAATAACTTGGAAAACCCAAAAGAAATTACGAATCAAAGTACTCATAAATCGAGATTTGAAATCGTAGTTTTAGTATTGGGTTTTGGCTGTGCGGGCTTCCTCTCTTATGAAGTTCTGCGTTTCGTCTACCTAGCTGCCTTTTCTTCCTTCTTGGGCTCCTCGGTCATCGGAGGCTGCTGGTTATTGGGAAGGAGGGCGAGACAAAGAGCGCATCAATTCCTTGGTTGAGGAGTAGCTTGCGTAGGAACAGAGAACGGCGTGAACCCGTGATGGGGTTTTCGTTTTTGGGTTCAATGTTAAATGGGTTGTTGCTTTCGGAGTTTTCGTTTGATGACAGAGATGGGGTTTTTTGGGGAGAAACTTTTAATCCGTGTTTCTAACAAAAGTAGCTTGACGATGAAAAGATCTAACCAAAGGAGGGGGAGAGAGCGGGGGGGGGGGGGGGGGGGAGAGAGAGAGACAGAGAGAGCTCTGTGTAGAAGAGTGTTGAAACGGCGAGATCTGCAATTGGAAAGAAGGCGATGGCGGCAGATTCTATTGTGCTAGGTACTTAGGGTTTTTTTGAAGTCACGTGATATTTTCTATTCAAACCAGGGCTTTTGTTTTATGAGAAAATAAGGCCATATGTATTTATATTTATATTAGGAAATAATGCATATTTTTTAGCATCCATGCCGTATATATTTAGCATGTTTATTCATACAGTTTTTGTTATAGTGTATAATGCATTCTGTTTTATTCAATTTTAAATGTTAGAGAATTTTAATTTTTTGGGGTTCCGTTTAAATGGGTTGTTAACAACCATTGAATTGCTTAGGTTGATTTTCTGGTGAGTTTTCTGCTTTTCTGGTAAAATGCCACAACTGTGCGTTATCAAATTTATGATCTGACAAATTTATGGACTGCCACTTTTGTTTTTGGTTTTGTGAGGAAATAGATATAACGGTTGGAAAATCAATCTATTAGCATTTCCTCAATTGCTTTTATTTTGTGATTTTTAGGGGGTTTTGTCTGTATGCTCGGATGCTGTTTGATTTCAGTCTTTTTTGTAGTTTGATATCAATATTATTTGTAGTTTGATATAATATTTTAACAATCAAAATGTGTCGTTCAGTCAAATAGAGCAAAAGATGCTGACAAAGGCTCATTTCTTACTTAGGGTGAAAAGGTAGAATAAAATATAGTTAGCCGGTGAAAGAGAGAAGGAACTATTTTGCGATTCAAACGCGTAATCCTAGCTTAGGAGTGACACTAATCTTCTTTGTACTGTTCTAATTTTATGAGATGTCCATGAAGGAAATTTCATGGTGGGTGGCTCGCAGCAAATTTAAGAGAACATTGATGCTCAAACGATGAAGATCTTGGTTGTCAAATTGGGCTCTGATTTGCTAGGTAGTTCAGGTTTTTATTTTTAAATTTTTTTTTTTTAATTTTGTCAACTAGGGAGTTCAGGTTTCAATTTGAGCTTTTGGAGGGAGATAGCTTTTTACTTTTTTTATAAAAAGCTTTGACCTAGAATTGGTGATTGATTAATTACGATCTCTAACGAAATCCAAAACAAAGCAGCATGATATCGTGACCAATGTTCACATTTTTGGTAGTGGTAATTCAATCCAAAACTTCATAATTTTAAGATACAATCTAATTGTAGTATGAAAAAAAATTCCAATTGTGGTATTTTAGATGTTGGAATCGGAACATTCAGTTCACTAAAACGACATCGTTATATAAGAAAAAGACAAGGATTGAACTTCTTCTTTGCGATGGTGGCTCCACAAGTCAAGCTGATATCTGGCTCTGCCACAGTTGGCTCTACAAATCATGAATGCCATATTGCTAAATCCATCAAAAAAATTCTGAACGCAAACTCACATATGACCTATCATCTAATATTTTCTCGTAGTGCGCATCAATACAAACTTGTGATCGCAAACATAACAAAATTTAGAATTAAAATAAAGATTCCACGGAACTACAAAGTTTAAGTATAGTATGATAATTTTGTATTACTATGACTGATTACCTTTTGCCGTCCGTTCACCTTTATTTTTCATTTCTATTTTAAATTTCTTTATTTCTTTTGCTTTTCTTTTTGTCTCTCCTCCCTCCTGCATCCTCTCACCCTCTTCTCTTAGCGAGCCGACGACTGCCGACGCAACAGCTTTGTCGTCCACGGGTCACCAAAGGCTGTCAAATTACACATCCAGAATGCTCTTGCCGTCCTTTATCCAATCCCCAAGTTAGTTTCTATAAATTCGTAGGCGATTTTCCTCAATTTCTAATTTAAGAACGGTGACCCAGGGTTTTCTGGCCAACTTCCGGCCAATATCGCAGGAATTGGACCTCGACCCAAGAGGTAGAAATGATCCTCTTCTCGTGGTCTGTTCTCCAATGTAAGTTCTTTTTCCAAATTTTCAACTTTCAGTTTTGGGATTGATTCTTGATTTCGAATTTTATTCGGTTTTCTGTATGAATGTCGGAGATGAGACTTATGGTAATTGTTGTATCTGTGAAGTTTATGAAACCCCTAACGATTACGTTCCCGGTTGATAGTTGAAGCATGTCTATAACACGGTGTGGGATTGAACTCTGTAGAACCTTGTATTATTGTGAATAGGCAATGAATGAACTCTTTTGCATAGGAATCATAAAACTTATGGAAAGAATGTGAAAATGTGGTACAAAATTAGAAAATGGGGGCCAAAATCATGTTATGATGAAGGCAATTGCTTAGCCTGATTCCTTGTTTATTCATGTTGTATTCAGCAGCTTACTTTGGTTCTGAGTTGCCTGCTGTCCAGTAGATGTTTAAGACTTAATGTGGAGGAAATTCTCTCTTGAAGTTGCTTGAACTTACCTATTTGGTAGACAAGGCTACTCAAGGGAAAGCTAGCCTGAGGTGTGAGTGGACATTTATTTAAGAAATGTTTTTTCTTTATCAAATATTAAGCATGCCTAGATAAATATGATTTCCGTTACGTTTAGGGGAAAACCAGATTTTATGAATTAATATCAGACCTTATAGTGAATGATCATATTATTTAGCTTACATGTGTATGATCAATATTACGTGTGTCATGCTACAAACATGTCATTCATCTTAAATGTGTATGGTATTACAGAACTTTTAGCATTATAAATTGAAATGCAAATATTGGTAGCTAGAGACAACTTTTCCAAATTATCATAACAAATAAGCCAACACCAATTTAGAAACAAACAGTAATAATCACAGTCGAAATTTATAATACATAAAATAAGATTGAATGATAAACCATTATCCAATTGCAACCGTTAGATTTTACTCTAGTCCTCCTTCCTCCCGAGTCCACTCCTAATTCCAAAATCAGTCATTCTCACTCCACGCCGTTCATCCCTCGTATCCAACTTTCAGTCATCTTCTCCTTCGTCATCACGACCAACGCAACGGCACCACCCATCCTCCTTGACGACATCCCACTGGCTCGATTCTTTCCTCTTCAACAACATCACTGTTGGCTCAATTCTCTCATTTTTAACAACCTTCACTTATGTTTCTTGCCCATTCGCAACCCTTATAATCCATACCTTCCTTCCACCCAAAATCTAATTCTTTAATCTCACATCGCCGTCGCAAATCCACCGCCCACCTGCCCTCCGTGAGCACTCCATCACTCTCAAGGGTAAAGCTTTCAAATTTTCTTCCGATTTGCGGGTTTCAATTCGAATTTTTGACTCCAGATGTTGTAAAGCACATGTGTGTTCTCTGGATTCACACAGCTATGCAAGGGCTTGTCGGTGGTGTTCATTGGAGGCCACATTGTAGTTCAACTTCTCCCTCATGCTTGTCGGTGGTATTTTTCTCTCGGTTTGGGCACCTTCACTGTCCAATTTTTGGTTTGTTGACTTATGAATTGAAAATTTACTAAAATGTATTGCAAAATATTGCATAAATATGTGTTTATAGTAATGGGTTTTATGAAAAATATGTGAAATTTAGTGTTTCGAACCGTTTGGTTTTGTGGGGTTGATCTGAAAGTCAGCTCTGGTGTTTCGCCTTTCTTGTGTGGAATTGGGAGTTTGTAGCATAGGTGATAATGTTGACATTTTGTTTGTTAAATGTTTGTATTACAAAGGATGGAGTATATGGTTGGTATTGGATTACAGACTTCGTTTTCACTTAGGTTTTGTATTTTGCTGGGATTTGAGTTTCTCTGGGAAAAGACTCGAACTTAATGAATTTCTTTGTGTTTTTTGTTAATCTTAATCAGATCTCCTCGGATTCTTTCCCTACCGCTTCACCCTCCTTGCCTTCATCCTGTTCGTCTCCGTCCTTTACGGCTAGAACTTTCCAGATTTGTTTTTCATCAAAGGTTTTCTTTGCTACATTTCAGAGGAAATTTCAACCAAAAAAAAAATAAATAAATAAGAGAAAAAAAAAAAAGTAATTGGACCCGTGGGCCCGCCCGAATCGGCTGGTTTAAAATGGGCTGAGTTAGGTCCAGTTCCAAAACTCATAATTGCTTTACCCGCCCTACCCTGTTAGATTTTTAAACGGGTTTGGTCCGGTCCATCCAAATTTGGGTCCGGCCCAGCCCGTACCCACCCCTATGTCAGTTTACCTTTATTTTTCATTTCTATCTCAAATTATTTTATTTATTTTCTTTTTCATTTTGTTTCTTTTTATTTAGGTGTGCATTAAAAGTGGAAAAAAAAAATTAATAGTATTTCTCTTTATTTGTAACTGATAAGTAAGAAATCTTTTGTTCGATTATCATGAAATGTAAATTTAAACTATATTAATTATAGTCATTATTATCATCAAAACGTGTTCTATCCTATCTCACTGTGACATCCCACATCGCCCAGGGGAGTGATCCTTATATGTATTCCCATCCATACCTAGCACGAGACCTTTTGGGAGCTCACTGGCTTCGGGTTCTGTAGGAACTCCGAAGTTAAGCGAGTAGCGCGCGAGAGCATTCCCAGGATGGGTGATCCATCGGGAAGTTCTTGTGTGAGTTCCCAAAAACAAAACCGTGAGAGCGTGGTCGGGGCCCAAAGCGGACAATATTGTGCTACGGTGGTGGAGCGGGCCCGGGAAGTGGTCCGCCCCGGGCCGGGATGTGACAATTTGGTATCAGAGCCTAACCCTGGTCGCGTGTGTGCCGACGAGGACGTCGGGCCCCTAAGGGGGGTGAATTGTGACATTCCACATCGCCCAGGGGAGTGATCCTTATATGTATTCCCATCCATACCTAGCACGAGGCCTTTTGGGAGCTCACTGGCTTCGGGTTCCATAGGAACTCCGAAGTTAAGCGAGTAGTGCGCGAGAGCATTCCCAGGATGGGTGACCCATCGGGAAGTTCTTGTGTGAGTTCCCAAAAACAAAACCGTGAGGGCGTGGTCGGGGCCCAAAGCGGACAATATTGTGTTACGGTGGTGGAGCGGGCCCGGAAAGTGGTCCGTCCCGGGTCGGGATGTGACACTCACGCACCAAACACACTTTTGATGATACATAATATCGTTTTTTTCCATAAAAAAAATAAAAATTGTGGAAAAGGATTAAGATGTAATAAGTGGGAGAAACCCATTTTCTCTCCTCCCCTCGTATCCTCTCTCCTTCTCTTTTGCGCTGCAACAGGAGCCCCATTAAACAGCAAGCCGACGACTGCCGAGTGCCAAGTGGACGCAACAGCTCTGTCGTCTACGGGTCACCAAAGGCTCTCAAACTACACATCCAGAATGCTCTTGCCGTCCTTTATCCAATCCCCAAGTTAGTTTCTATAAATTCGTAGGCGGTTTTCCTCAACTTCAAATTTAAGAAACGGTGACCCAGGGTTTACCGGCCAACTTCCGGCCAATATCGCCGGAATTTGACCTCGACCCAAGAGGTAGAATGATCCTCCTCTCGTGGGCTGTTCTCCAATGTAAGTTCTTTTTCCAAATTTTCAACTTTCAGTTTTGGGATTGATTCTTAATTTCGAATTTTATTCGATTTTCTGTATGGATGTCGGAGATGAGACTTATCGTAATTATTGTATCTGTGAAGTTGTTGAAATCCCTAACGATTACGTTCCCGGTTGATAGTTGAAGCATGTCTATAGCATGATATGGGATTGAACCTGTAGAACCTTGTATTATTGTGAATAGGCAATGAATGAACTCTTTTGCATAGGAATTATAAAACTCAGGGAAAGAATGTGAAACTGTGGCACGAAATTAGAAAATGGGGCCAAAATCATGTTATGATGAAGGCAATAGCTTAGCTGGATTCCTTGTTTATTGTAGTTGTATTCAGCAGCTTACTTTGGTTTTGAATTGCCTGCTGTCCAGTAGATGTTTAAGACTTAATGTGGAGGAAATTCTCTCTTGAAGTTGCTTGAACTTACCTATTTGGTAGACAAGGCTACTCAAGGGAGAGCTAGCCTGAGGTGTGAGTGGACATTTATTTAAGAAATGTTTTTCTTTATCAAATATTAAGCATGCCTAGATAAATATGATTTCCGTTATGTTTAGGGGAAAACCAGATTTTACGAATTAATATCAGACCTTATAGTGAATGATCATATTATTCAACTTACATTAGTTGCGGCTAGCTAGTGTATCATAATATTATTTAGCTTACATGTGTATGATCAATATTACATGTGTCATTCTACATACATGTCATTCATCTTACACGTGTATGGTATTACAGAACTTTTAGCATTATAAATTGAAATGCAAATATTGGTAGCTAGAGACAACGTTTCCAAATTATCATAACAAATAAGCAAACACTAATTTAGAAACAAACAGTGATAATCACAACGTAAATAAGCAACATAAATAGTATTTTTGGAATGAAATTCTGGTGCAACAAATGACCTTTTATTGGCTTGTACATATGATATAGTAAACGAATTGCTGAAACCACAACGTTCTGTAAACTCTTGTCCTGCATGCATTGGAGAATAATAGAATTCACTGAAATTGGAATAAGTTGAAATGGTAATGCTTATTGTATATGTGTTTCAGAAAATAGCGGTTTAAGGACTAAATTAATTTTCAAGTCACTTAGCACTACCGTTATGTTTATTGTATATGTGTTTCTCAAAAAGGTTATGCTTGTTGTAGATCAGGTGAGACATGCTAACTGAAAAGGGTTATTCCAATATTATTGTGGAATCTGATAAAGGTTTCTTGAGGCAGTTGCTGATCCGAAAAGCTTCTTCCATCTTAACTGCTATTGGGTGTAAGACTTTTATTGGGCTTACATCTATACAGGAGTCCTAATTGATTAAGGATAAAAGAAAGGAAGTAATATTTGATTATTCCGGATTACTTATGGTGAAGTATAGCAATAATTTTTGGGAATATCAATCCTATTAGTTCATGGATTTTAGAGGTGCTAAAGATTTGTATTAGGGTTTTCTTTATGGGCGAGAAACCTAATACTCTCACCTATAAATATAAGGCTTAGGTCCCACTTTTATACACATTATTCTAGCACAAAACACTACCCCATATAGGAGTGCATAAGGCGTGTAGAGAGAGATGAAGATCTTTGCTTGTTCGTTGCTGATCATGGTTCAATCTTGTTCATATCAATGGCTTCTCAAGGTTAGTACTTGCATATTATAGATCGACTTGCATTGGGTACCTCAAAAAAATCAATTAGGTAGCAGAATGTGGTTTGACGATCCTTATTGTTCAATTTTTTAAGTACTATCCATGTATGTATATATTCTATAAAACATGGTAGAATAATTTTTTGAGTACTATATAGATAATTTCATCAGTTTTTACTAAACCCAGAAGAAGTTGGAGATGGAAACATGCTAACCTTTGTGCTTGATCAATCAATTGTGTTAGTCATCTTCATCCTCCCCATAGAATTCGTAATACTCTCACCTAAAAGACAGATGTTTTCTTGAGATAGAGTTGAGTTTTAAAAAATAAAATTACTTAAATACACTTTAGTGTGAACATATGCACATTTATATGGTATTTGACTAAATTTTGAGAAATCTTTTGTCAAAGTAAATATGAACTGTTGATTATGCTTTCCCTAAATTTGTAGTAAAAATTTTGGTGGTGTTTGCCATATTATGCTTGTAGCTCAAAACCAGAACGTATATGTTGGTTGAATAAATAGAAACTTAAGATTGAGCATATATAGCTCACTGACTGTAAATTATCAACCTAGCTATTCTTCAGTCCTTCGTAAAAACATTAAGGATCGAAAGAGTTGGAACAAACAACTTGAAGCATTACTGTTTAGGAGAAAATCTTTGTTGGTTTAGTGGTTGTATATTGATGATGCGGTCTTCCAGGTGGACACAAAAGTGATTGCAAATTAGAAACATTAATCTAAAGCATACCTTGTCCATTCCTGTCGAAATGCGCGTTTTACTTGCAATCGGGGATTATGCGTGTCAACAAGCTTAGAATCAAATGGCCTTAAGTCTTGCACATTAATAACCTTCAATAACTCCAAAGACGGCAACTTCAAAGTATAAGCTTCACCACAAAAATACTTGAGTTTTGGCAGATTTCCAAGCTCGATGGACTTCACTTTAGGTAATGTAATTATTTCCCCTGCTTCTTCTTCTGCCGCAACGATTTCTTCCATCTGCTCACACTTCCCAACTTTTATGTCCTCTACACTCGCAAGAAGTTTGACTATGGACGAAGAAAACAAGTATTTCAACTGGCTGCAACTATAGACCCGCAGCAATTTCAAGTTTCCGAAACTGCTTCCTGTGAACATTGGTTGTGAACTACCTGTCTCCCAAACACACATTAAACTTGGCAACCTAACTAACCCCAAGGACCTCAATTTTTTGAATGCTTCAACGGAGTGACTACTTTCTTCATGCTCCGGTCCCTTGAGTTGGAAAATCACTTCCATTGAATTACAGCCAAGTACAATAAGATATTCGAGATTATCATCATCATTTGAGTCCTCCAGATTAGTTGGTGTAACCTAGAAAATTAAACACGATCAACAAGATGATACAATACTAATTAAAAGTTGTAATTATAGAGGTTAATTGAACCTGAATTAAAAGCTTACCTCCTGATTAATTGGACGTGGCAATATTTCAATGGGGCGTTGGGCGTTTGGTCTTGAATATGGTATGCATCCACATCCATCAGGGCACCAATTTGATGAACGTGTTGGAGAGGTGCTGAAATCATGACTTGTTGAATCCTTCTCAGACTTATTCTCCAACTTCTTTCTTTGTGGAATTACAGCACCCAATGTCTTCAATTTTTGACATTCTTCCACGCGCATATCTTTTGTGGATGACCATTGAAATGTAGATCCCGCTGGACAAAGACTTGTGAGACGAGGCAGGCCTATTAGATCAAATCTGTTCAGTTTCGGAAACAAAATCATGTCTTTTGTCGCCTCTTCTTCATTTTCCTCTGTGATTCTGACTATAGTTTCCATGTCCCGACATCCACCTATCTTTACCTCTTCAAGATTCAAAAGTTCCGAGGCAATTAAATGCGAGAACACATATTCTAGACCATAACAACGTCTCAATTCCAAATATCTCAAATTTTGGAAGCCCTGGAATCCAGACGGAATGTTTTTCCACAAGTGTGTAAACGAACATTCGGATATCTTCAACTTACGTAATTGGGGACATGTTGGAGATGTCTGCCCATCCATAACTATATGGATTTTCAGATCAAATAGCACGCCTTCAAACTCCATATCACTCAATTCTACCTCTTCTAAACTTGGAAACCATGAAATGCACTTTGATGGAAATATTGCTTTTTCAAATATTCCTGCAGATTGATGCTCAATCCTTGGCGTTGTTTCCTGAAAAAGAAAAATCATTATCGGTTAAACAATTTCAAATTTCCACATATCGGCTGCCTCCTCATATCATAGAGATTGGAGAGTGGGACATACCTCTTGGTTGGAGTATAGCTTGTTGGCTTGGAAGAAACCAACCAAACTCGGTAGATGACAGAGACTCAATTTGGTTAATTTATTGAAAGATATTATATCGGCTTCATTCTCATGTTCCCTCCCCTGCTTCGACACAATTTCTTCCATTTGATCACAGTCACCAATATCTAATTCCTCGAGTTGTACCAAGTTTCTCACTGCTGATAGTGAAAAGGCATATTTTAAGACATCACAATTGAACAATCGAAGGAATCTTAGGTTGGTCAAAAAGCTATTCGGAAGTTGACTAGCTGATTGTATGTGAGGAAATGGTGTCTGCTGGGTCACACTTGTTCCATTTGCAAGATACTCAGTATTTGGACAACGCTCAAGAGCCAAATATTTCAAATCTTGAAATCCCTCTTGGTCTAAATCAGTGAGGACAGAGAAATTCTTAACTTTGCACAAAAACAAATCTTCAGATTTTTTCAACAAGAGCCTAACTGCTTGACTCTCCAACTCCCTTGCATCACCTTTATCAATAATTAGTGAGTTTCTGAATGCATAAGTTGTCATCTCCGAAAACATCTTCGAAAACATCTCGGTACTTCCAATAGCGAATTTTATTGTTGGGCTTTTCAAGACTATGTCTTTTGGCAACAAGTGGATGACATTGGGGGGCATCTGTATGGTTAGAACCTTCAAATGATGAGACAGAGACATCACCTCAGAAATGCTTGCCATCCTCTTATCTTCTCTTCCTGTTCCAAGGTCCCATTTATCAAAGCTACCCATCATATACAACTCTTCAAGTCTACTTAAGCCGGAGAAGATACCATGTGGAATCACCTTAAGATTCATGCAGTTTGTCGTATCTAACAACCTCAACTGTTTAAGTCGTCCAATTTCCCTCGGCAACTCACACATGTAAAAACAATCCCGAAAGCTGAGGATTTCTAAATTCTCCAAACTCCCAATAACATCAGTAGACATGCCATCTAAGTTAGACCCATCTAGGATCAAGGTCCGCAAGTTCTTCAGTACTCCTGGTGATCTTGATGAGCCTAGGTCTTTCATTGCCATTCCCACCAAAGCTAAAACCTTCAGTTCTTTCATCGCATCACAAATGATGTCCATGCTACCTTTTGAAAAACTTCCATTCATCGTCTGTAGAAGCTCAAGTTTTGGGCAACCAACTGGAATCTCCAGATCGCCAACCAGTGAGATTGTGTCATATGTAGCTAAATTTGGCCACTCTTTATTTTCAGCATGACTTCTTACCAGAAATCGATGTGGATCTCTAGAAGCAATCGATATGGCAACATCGCGAACTATGTCATGCATTTTTGTAGTCTCACTCCTGCCACCATCTAGTAACAAAAACCTTCTTTTTAGTTGGTCAACCAAAGAATGCACTCTATTTCTTGCATCTTCCAAAGTAACGATGCTGCTAAAATATCCTCGACCCCACCCATATCGAACCAAATACTCAATTCGAATATTATAATCTTCTGGAAATAAACAACAAAGTAAAAGACATGACCTTGCTTCATCACTCTCCAAGCCATCAAAACTCAATTTTATGCTAGAATAAACTTTGCTGTCCACTCCAGGGATGTTCACTGGGTTAGAATTTCGCAGCTGATTAAGGGCATCTTCCCATGCATGCTTCTTTTTGTTTTCTAGGGCTTTTCCAACAGTAACAATAGCAATAGGTAAACCTCCACATTCCTTCACAACATCTTTTGGAGTGGAATGTAAATCAGGATCATCGAAGGATTCACCTACCATTTCTCTAAAGAGCTCCTGTGATTCTTCTGTTGTTAAAGTCCGGACTTCAATAATTTGTTGACTTCTCATCTCGTTGCAGACTTCCAAATTCCGTGATGTCAACAAAATTTTGCACCCTTTATTAGTATGTTCGTAAGGAAGTCCTATAGCCTTAAAATCAAGCTCTGTCCATACATCATCTAATACAATCAGGATCCTTTTATTTCCGTGAGTCTCCCATATAGCTTTAGTGCTCTTACAGACTCGGGATCCTCATCAAGTTTCAAACCTATTTGGCCTGCAATTTCCGACTGGATCGTCTTAACACTTGGACTTTGAGACACAGTTGCCATTACGATTTCGCCAAACAGGTTCAGTTCTGCCAATCTTGTGATGATTTCTTTCACCATTGTGGTTTTACCCACACCTCCCATTCCACATATCCCGATCAGTCTTACTTCTTCCCTCTTCAAACCCTCTATCACCTCATTGATCTTTGCCATTCTGGACTTAAAATCTTTAAAACCTTCTTTGAATGTTGACCATATCTTTCGTGGAGGTGCAGGATGGGCCATATTTTCAAACGTTCCTTTGTTTTGGAGCTGAAGAACATGCTGTGTAATCTTATAGGCTTTCCGACTCAAGCTCCATCGATGCACACATCGCCTTTTCTTATTAATTTCATCCTCAAAATGCGACACTTTTTGGATCATGTCGTTCACATTCTTTAGCCAACTCTGAACATCGGGTTTGATATTTTCACCGTTCCTTTGGGCAGCATCTACCCATCCTTGCACTCCATCTTTCTTGTCAAAAAGCTTTTTTATCTCACCCCTAAGACTTTCAAGGTTGGAATGGTAATGAATCAAATAGCCAAACTCTGTTCCTATTGGTGTGACCAAGCATTCTCCAATTTTTGAGGCAATTGCAATTATAATTTCCATTGCCTTCTGAAATTAAAGACTACGGCTATAATGCTCCTCTTTGCTGGTGGCTTTTGTATGTCTCCTGCTCAGTGCTCGCCTAAAACAAAACGAGCAACACAACATTAGTAATCAGATATTTTTGTCATGTTTAAATCTAGGTAGTATTTTTATTTTATGCAAAAAAAATTGTGT